ATTTGACCTTATTGCATCATATACATGTGATATTTATTATAATTATATCAATGTAAATATATACACTAGTTTATAGCTTGACTACCTGATAACTTTTTAAATATTATAAATGTATCAATATAATACTAGGGAAACTACTTGTAAAAGTCCTTTGGGTTTATTTTGTTCTTTGTCCAAACATGTTTTGTAAAATACACCTTGTATTGTATATATCTATCAAGTTCAAACTATTGTAACATATTTGGAAAATTTTACTATGTGAAGTTGAGAGAGATTGTCAACTTTACTTCGGAAACTGTCGTTCAATGTTCATGGCATCAGAAAAGGTATTTAGCGACTTTAATACTGGAAGTAGAGATGCTTCACTTAGCAAAATTACAGTTGGTAACGCTGGTAGAAATACTCGAAGGAATTTTTCACAGCAAACAGTAAGTTAATTTTTTTTATTTCAAGGCCCATAATTTGTTTATCTGTCATTTTATAATATAAAAACATTGTCATTGCTACTCATGTCTGCTCTGAATTCTGCTTCTGGTCAAAGAGATTTTGATCACGCTTCATATAAAGCTTTATAATGAGTTGATAATACTGTTTATAATCAAACGTGCTTGCACAGATCTTGAATTTTAATATATCCATTATGCAGGTTAATTAAGAAGCAAGTCCATTGCTGTTATATTATACTATACAACTGCCCTATACACTTGCAGGTATATTTTATATTACTATAGTCTTTAATGGTCACTGGCATCCCACTGACTGCAAATCAATGAGTGCTATTATTGAGATCTATTGCCAATTCAAGGATTGTCTCCCACCACAATTTCACACAGAGTGCAATGGAAGCTCAGTCTGTTTACGTACAGTTGAATATTAATCTTCTAGATGGAAATAATTGAATGAAAATGTATTTATATTCACTAGACCTAACCAGGTACAGCTGCAAAAAATGTAGGTGCAGTTTATTTTTGGATATCCAGTCCAGATGTAAATAATATCTGATCTAAGATCAGCAGGGACATAGCAACACAGGGTGTTGGGATGTAGACCCCACAACTGTGAAACTCAGTTAAAATTCAAGTATAAATTTTGACATTTTTAGGTAAAATTTTAGGTACACTTCATGTAGATCTTTAATTAACATTGAAGTTCAGATTTCAGGTAAAATTCTCTGACATGCACCCCGATGACAGATGCTTTGCTACGTCCATGTAGATCAGTGCAATCACTATACAACACTATAACCCTAGCAGTTGTTACGGTATATGAAAAAGCAAACCCACAGCCATAATGTGCTGAGGTCATATCGACAAGTTTCAACCTTTCTTTTCAGCATTTAATAACAGCATTGTCGATCGAGTAGCATGTTCATACTTTTATAGCTAGAGTTTACCTATGACGTCATATTTCCGCCAAAATTCAAGTTTTCTATTTGTGATCCTAGTTTGTGTATTTTGTTCAATTCTTAATACAACATTCAACTTTTCACAATTGAACATTCAACTTTTCACACAATTCAACATTCAACTTTTTTACGCAGTTCAACATTCGACTTTTCACACAATTCAACATTCAACTTTTCACACAATTCAACTTTTCACACAATTCAACATTCAACTTTTCACACAATTCAACATTCAACTTTTCACACAATTCAACATTCAACTTTTCACACAATTCAACATTCAACTTTTCACACAATTCAACATTCAACTTTTTACACAATTCAACATTCAACTTTTTACGCAATTCAACATTCAACTTTTCACACAGTTCAACATTCAACTTTTCACACAATTCAACATTCAACTTTTCACACAATTCAACATTCAACTTTTCACACAATTCAACATTCAACTTTTTACGCAGTTCAACATTCAACTTTTCACACAATTCAACATTCAACTTTTCACACAATTCAACATTCAACTTTTTACGCAATTCAACATTCAACTTTTTTGAACATCCAACCGCAATCCAATTTAAACGACGTAATGGCGGATTTAAGCGAAGTGAAAGAGACACTAGTCAAGTTGGCAAATAGAATTTCTGACTTGCAACAGTCAAGTGAGGCAACCAACAGTTCAGGTAAGTGTAATATTGATTGTATTGGTTTATTAATATTCCTCTAAAAGTACTGTACTACACCTGAGTGACCTATTTTGTCAACTATTTTGTAGACCTACTATTTTGTCAACATATTAAAATTTTTAATTTACATAAAATTTGCGGCGCTAGGGTAGAGTTTCGTTTGTATAATCTTATGTTTCAGTTAGGATAAATTGATTCGAACAAAATAACTTGCTTGACAAGCCAAATTCAGATGCTATTGTGTTGACTTTAATGGGTTGTTTCTTGTTGCTTATTGCGATTTATTACGATTTTTGCGTGTATTTTAAGACTTTGTGCCCACAACGAAAGCGGTAAACGAGTATATTATAAAAGCGACCGGTTTTTCTCCCGTTTTTGTGTGGAAAAAATGACAACGTAGCGACAGTGTTTATACAGAAGCGAAAAACAGTATTTTACTGAGATATTAACGTCAGTATAAAGGTTATTCCGTGAAAAATCAAGACAACTATGGAATGAAAGTATAACTTTTCGAATTTGACATTAATATGAAAGAAAACAACAGGTCAAAAATCACAAGAGAACGTCAAATGTCATTGATTCGTACGGGAAAATATGAACTATGGCTGTGGCTCGATAACATTCTGCAAGCAGCTTACATGTTTAAAAAATGAAGGCTTATATTACCTGAGTGAGTTGTAATCTTATTCCTTCAACAATAGTTTCATATTTCTTACGATTTTGGTGTTTGTATAGACGTTTTGTAGCCTTGTTGGTTGTTTGTTTTGGCCATACAAACTACGACAATAATACAAAGTCAAAGGTTTCCTTTTTCGATTGACTCCAGCATCTTTTGCTTTAAATATCATGTATATTTTCTCAGAAGTTCTTTATGTCTTACGTTCTTTCAAACTCAGTTTTATAGATATTATTTTTGAAAAAAGCCGTAATATTGACGAAAAAAAGCTGCCATAGGCGACAGCAAAAAAAACATTTTGTCAATTTTCCCGCGTTTTTCCCCATTTCCTAGGATACGAGGCCTCGATCACGATTTATGAATAAGGTCTATAAAGTGTATAAAAACTAGAAGTTACTATCGCAAGGGAAGTGCTGCCTCAACACCAAAGTCCTGGGGGTTGATTATACCAATAAACTTCATTTACTTAAATTGCCTTATACACAGGGTATGTATGAATTTATTTTGTTTAAGAAATATCGAAATTACAACATGCAATAATTACTATATATACTATAACGTGTAGTTCGGATTTCCATATTTAAATGTATGCTCGTGATTGTTGGTACCAATGTTTTAAACAATCTTCACTTGTCAAAACGTCTAGAAGAACACAATGAGGAATATACACGATATGTCTTTTAACATGATATGACCAGTTTGTTACAAGTTTTGATATTCTTTCTTTCCAAGGTAATGATAGTCCATACTGTATTTTCCATTTTGTAAACAAGTCTTATACTATTCGTTTTTTGTCCAATATATAAATATTTCGTATTTATTTAGCATGTACAGGTAGTATCCATTGTTGGCCATCATTATTGTCCAATAACTTGTTAGATTACTGTACATATAAAGGTATGTAATATCTTGGCATACAATGTTCCTGACATCCATATGGTAGATTGGAAACAAGTACAGCAAAATTCAGATTCCATCCCATTGCATTAGATGTAATATACAGTATCCATACAAACTTGTAAATCAGCATTCTTGTTTTAATAGAAATACATTTCTGTTAATCCAGAAGCTCCCATCCATTTTCATGCAATGTAATATATTTATCCATATTATATTTTGACTTTAACAACCATTTGGTTTCATACAGCAGTTAACATGGCACCATTCACATCCGTCAGAATTGCAAAACTATAGAAAAAATAATTGCCAGCATGAGATATTTACTTAGAAACATGGTAGCACATAAATGAATGAAAATAAAAGTAGGCCAGGGGGAGGGGTTTAATTAACAAACAAAATACTTACCATTATTTCAACTTGCAAATCATAATATTTTCATACATACAGTGATAACAATGAGTAAATTAGTTATTATATAATAAATTACATTATTTAAAAGGGTATATAGTCAAACTACATACCAAAATATAACTGGGACCCATATATGAAATCCCACTCTTATTCAACCTCAATAGTTTGTTGTTCTAAATGCACTGCTAATAGCCTGTGCTAACTGATCTAGCCTGTTTTCTTCTTCAAGCCTATATTGTAAGTTAGCTGATGATTTCAAGTTTGATAATCGTTCATACGTCATTGGTTCAATGACACAAGATGCAAGTGATTTTACTCTACTAATAGCAACATAGGAAAATCCAGCAGTTCTTTCAGATTTGCCAATATCTATCCATGCTTTTGGAAGCGTAAGTCCTTGGCTCTTGTGTATTGTTAGAGCCCAAGCAAGCCTAAGAGGTAACTGTTGTCTCTCATGGGAACCTATTTCTGTCTGTGATGTGACAGTGATTGGATATATTGGGATACACAATGGTTGGTTTTCATTAAAAACAGGTCCTCTATAGTTTTCAAATTCTACTATTACCGCAATAGGTAAGTCAGGTGGTTGATGGTTGTTCTGATAGATAATATCAACAACTATCCCAGTAGCACCATTGCAGAGACCAACACTTGACCACAAATTCATGGTTAACATGACCCTACCACCTTTTGCTAGAAACACAACAGGTTCTAACCCAGACATATCATCTGAGGATATTTTTTTGCCAATGCTGATGAATGGCGAGCATTAATATGAGCAACTGGATGCTCAAGTTTTGTTAGCTGCTCATGGTTGTAATTAGCAACTTGTTCATTACTATAAAAGAGTCTAGTAGAATCTTCGAAGTCACATAAATTAGTGACATTCGATGGTTGACGTGTCAGAAGTAACTTCCAGTCATCAACTGTTGAGTTGCCTTTGCATTTGAATTTTTTCAAATTCTAATTTTGTCTTAGGACAAATATCAAAAGGGAAATGAAATCTACATTTCAACTCTGTTTCATTTGACTTCTTTCTAAGACAATAACTTGTACTGCAACGAGTATGTCGTTGAACCATGTTTAATAGATCTACATAATCTGATTGTTTTTCATGTTCAGGAATGTCATGACTTCTTTGACATGGATGAACCCCAGGTCTTATCCACGTGTCCTCATCTGGTGGATTAGGATTGACGGTTGATAATAACCAATCAACATACTGACATACTGTGTCAGCTGCTTTCTGCCCAGCTTCAATATCCTGGTCTAGTTCAGTTGTGTCAGAACAATCATTTTCATCTTTAAATTTTTGGGCTAAGAAACCTTTCAAAGCAGTCTGAGTAAGTTGACACAAACCTGGGTCATTATTTAGTTTAGCAGTACCATGACAGTGGATACTACCTCTACCTTGGTATTCATATCGAAACCAGTGCCATTTTGCACCAAGTGTATCATAAAGCCAGTGTTTTACAAAGCTTTCTAATCTTTGGGTGAAAAACCAATCTACAACATGGGGATTGTTGATCACATTTTGTCGTCTTACATCACTGGTAGAGTTACCTAACTCATTGTCAGTATCAGTTTTAAATAAAGCATGTAACTCAGGCCAATGCATATCTGCAGAGGAGAAAGTGAAGAATAATGTTGGTGCTCCAACACTAGTTATGATAGCTTTGAGTTCCTCTCTTACTCTATTCCAGTAAGCATTAGTACCTGCAATATTGCCAACATATCTCGACACTTTAGACATAAATACACTAGCATTGTTACTGACAGCCATTTCACACAGTTCATCTATTGTGAGATGAGCTCCTGGGTTCTGTTTGAGGAATATTCCACTTTGTTGTAAAATTTGTTTTCTTTGAATCATGTTAAAAGCCCAATAAGAAAATCTGGGGTGGTTAGCAAAACGGTATACCCATTTACCATCAATAATTTCAGCAAATTTTAGAAGATGCTTTATTCGTTCCTGAAGAGGGACATCTCTCAGAAGTCCTTGATTAGTAGGATCACCTTTCCCATCTGGAAATAATGTCGGGAAAGCCATTGTGGCCAGATGTGATATCTGATACTCATTTATTGGCTCATTTTCAACCGAGGGCCATGGCATTGGCTCATTTTCAGACAGCTGATTTCTAACAGCTTCAATTTCCGTTTGTTGTTGTTCACCAACAGGTAAAAAACTACTCATTTCAGTAGAGTCATTATAAACAATATCCTCTGATGGATTATCAGTAGGAGGACCTACATCAGGAGAACAATTGTCATCTGAGACTATGTCATCATCAGTCTCAACAGTCATGAGACCTGGTGGTACACCATTTTCAGGTAAGGAATTTAATGCATCTTGATTAATTAATAACTCAGAATAATGAGGATTATTATTGATAAGCCAAACTAAAGCATTGTGCACTTTTTGCTTTCGCACAGTCACATCTCTGAATGTGTTTTCTCTACCTTTAGCCTTGACAATAATCACAGCTAAGTCTTTAGGATATCTTGGCAAAGACATTGCAAGTTCTTTGACATTTTGTGGCAGGTTAATACAATGCCCCGAAAAACCTCGTTGACCACCAGGTTTAATATAAACTCTCATGATGGGCAAAGCACGAGCAATCAACATTTCCTCAATCTGTGTTAAATTTTGCAGTTCATGTGGAACACATGAAGGTATCATTAAATTTTCACAAGAAAATTTTTTTGGAGATTTTTTATCTCTAAAGCATCGTGAACACACATAAGGTGTCCTTGGTTTAGATTTTAAGGGCCATGCCTCCTGACATTCTGTACACTGACTGACAATGTATTGCACAGACTTACTAAACTTATTAATGTTAGCCTTAGCCCAACATTGTTCTTCAATACCACCATTTTTGGTTCTGTCAAACATGTTTAAATAGTCCTGTTGATTTAATATTTCATGTTGAGGCTGTGACACTTTTTTTGCCCGCTTTTGTTTTTTATTAAGTCTATCTTTCTCAAGCCTCACTTGTCTGCTGGTGTCAGTTTCCTCTGCCCGCTTTCTTTTT